TCTAATATATTACTTAGAATGTTATTAAAGGATGAAGTCTGTGTTGTTTCTCAGGTAATTTAAAGAAATTCAACTCTAAGAAAATGAAATCATCTGACAGGCCAAGCAGAAACCTGCAAGATCTCCCACCACAAGCTTCTCTGGAGGAGATCAAACAGAGAAAAGTCTTGGACCTCCGTAGATGGTAATCCACTCATTGGAAAGCGAAATGAGACTCAAAGAGTGCAAGTTTAAAAACTTCTTGCATTAACAACTGTTCCCTCCGACATTCTAGGTACTGCATCAGCCGCCCCCAATATAAAACATCATGTGGAATCTCCTCACTTGTCTCTTGTTGGAACTTTCTCTACAGTACTTTAGGTGCAGGCAGGTCTGTGTGTTCCTTGCTGAAATGGATGACCACATTTTTAATTTGATGACAATATTTCAGATTGTGAATTAAAGAATTCTCAAATAGGGCTCTGCTGGTTTAATGCATGGGACTTGCCAAAACTGTTCAGAAATATACTAAGGAATGGGTATTTTTAGGAGCAAAAACAGCACATTTATTTGATCTATTTTAAGATTTCTAATCTGGTCTGGTAGAAATTGCAAAGAGTAAACTTTAGGATTTATTTATTTTTCAGTCTCCCACCTATGTCTCAAGAAGAAGCCCTGCACATACTTGATTTCCAGCCTCCATTTGAAGATATCAAGTTTGGACCATTCACCGGCAATGCCACTTTGATGCGGTAAGATTACTGTATTTATTGCTCTATAAAGCAGCACTATGTAACTTTTGGCGCTCTAGCGGTTAAAGGCAGAGTAAGCGATTTCTGGTAGCCAATGTTGATATTTGAAATCACCAAAACAAACACGCCCCTACCCCAAAAGGGTCTTGCCCCTATTTTGATAGCTCCACCCCACATATACGTACGCAACCCAGGCAACGATTAGTTCTGTGAAACAAAGCAAAACCAATGTTACACCGTGTCTACGGACGTGAGCGGCGCGGCGCAACAAATCCCCGACAGAAAACTGCTGCCAGGTTCTATTTATGACGTGCTGACACACATTTCAAATGGTTTTCAACGGTCGTTTGATCGCGTCCAGTGTAGGCAGACTTTAGCTGTTGTAGACACGGTGTTACTCAACTATTGAGAAGAAACAAAGCAACCTCGGCGTCCGATCGCAGGCCTCCGCTCCTTGAGTTCTCTCCAGCGCTGGAAAGCTGATCCGATATTTACACGGGTACTACTTCTTGCCTTATCGTTCCGCAAATGTTTTCCTCTTTTGTTTTTTATCCACCATCCCTATCTTTCTGTCGCTCTGCTCGGCTAATGTCCGTCCCATGCACTGAAAGCTCTCTCCTCCACATCACGAGTAGACACGCCCCTTATTGCTGATTGGCTACAAGTTTGTTTTGCGATTCGGCCCAAATCAGTTTTCTAAAGTGTTTTTGAAAAATCACATACCCTGCCTTTAAAGGGGTCATACGATGCGATTTCAATTTTTCCTTTCTCTTTTGATATATCCTCCTGAGAATCAGAAAAAAAGGTTTGTGATTTTTTTTTATGCCATTACATTAGTTGGAGCATAAGAAACAAATGGAGAGAAAACATTTTTGAAAAAAAAATATTTTATACATATTTTATTTTATGTCCTTAGTAGAGGACGCCAGAACTAATTATTCAATAAATAAATAAATAAATAGACGTGAAAAGGCATGGATAGGCAAAAACAATGTTTTATTTTTCCATTCACCAATCAAGTTTTTAGGTTTCAGGCTATTTTTAACCAAACTTTGTACAAAGATGATTCTCAACCATGATATGAAGGATATAACAGATTGATTTGATATAATATTTTACTTTATGCAATATGTGCGTAAAATGTCCATAAATTGGTATTCCCATTCTATACAATGTATCTATACATTGCATCTAATT